AGATGGAAGGGGGAGGGTGGGAATGTGAATCCGGCCGGAGGAAGGCCGGAGGAAGAGGGCGACGTTGGGTATGGGACCGTGGCCTGCGCTGGGAAGGATGAGACTGGGGAGCTAGCGAAGGAGGGGGGAGGGAGATGGGGGGCGAAGAGGGAGGGAGAGGAAGTGGCGAGTGGGGTTAGGGTGTTCAGGACGCTGTTGTGGCGGTGGCGTTGGAGAATATGTTTGAAAACGTCAGTGAGATGAGAGTCAGTGGAGTGTGTGAGAGACGTACCGAGGGAGTTGGGAGGTGGGGAGAGAAGGAATGGTGTCGAGGATGGGGTACATCAGTTCGAGGGCGTGAGGGAGGGAATGTGGCGAGATGGCAGAGAGGTAAGAGACGGAGGCTGTGAGGGCTGCGTGGCGAACCTATGGCAAGAAATGATAGTTAGAACGAATGGAGCGCGGTGGTAATTAACAGACGAAGGGAAAAGAAGAAAAAATAGAGTAGGACGGTTACATCGAGATGTGGCGACGATGTGATAACGCCGTCAGACAAAGACGGGAGTGGCTATGACAGACGGCACGCCTCAATCGTCCATGAAATTTCAGGAATGAGAAAAGAGTGAGTAGAACACTCACATCGACACTCTGCGGATCTTACAATCCTCTTCTAAGGACCTCGACCACCGCTTCCGTCTGCAAATCCAACACCAGATTCGGGCACCCGCCAAACACCGTCTAAACACACTCTCCCTCTGCCCTGATTCGCTTGAGTTCATCATCTGGAACGCCTGGGCCTTCCTCTCGCCATGGAGTTGTTCGCGAGATCGGAGAAGGTGTCTACGCATTTGCGACGGACGACAGAGGACGGTTCGTGTGCGAGGGAGTGGAGGAGAAGACGTTCAAGGGTGGTGAGGGTTTGGGATGAGAGATGGTCGTAGAGGGTGAGGTGGGAGGACGCGTGTGGTTTGTGGGGCGAAGGGGACGGAGCCGGGCGGATAAGGACGAGCGAGAAGGATCTCATCTACTAGTAGTTCAGTAGACTTTCAAAGATGAAGCGCAGATAAGACTTACGACTTCGGTATCTGCGCGAGTGGCGAACTGAGTCAGTGCGAGGACGTAAACCTCGGGCGTCTGCGCAAGCCTCTCGTTGACCACCTTTTCTGCACTGTATCCATCCCTTGAGCAACCATACATCCATAGCAATCAAAAATTACACACTTTGAACGGATCTCGTTGTCTCCTAGGACAAGACTTGACAGGATCTGTGTGCGTTTTGCAGTCACTTCTGCTGGTACGACTGCCTCCATTATCGACGTCGCGTGCAGATTGTGATGGCCAGACTCGATTGACGTCCCGCAAATATATAATAAATCCCTATTTTCTGCGATCGAGAGTCAAGGCAACTACGAAAGGTTAGGAGGGTGCGGTTGGAGGATGAAAAGAACGACGAGCACGATGGGCGCTAATGCATGTCATCGCCACAGCCTCGCGCCACGTTTGTTTGGCCATGTTTGGCCGATGTTGACTTTTTCATCGAGTCGAGACTTGTTCACGCCCACAATCGCCCACATCTAATACAGGCCACGATCTGCCCTCTCATAGAGCACAATGCGCTTAGCTCTCATTTTAAACTACCTCCTATGGTACCTGGTGACCTTCGCCATACAGTGCATTCCGTTTGTGTTGACACTTGGCATCATTGGCACATCTGTCCTGGCGGCAATCGAGTTCTCCAAAGACAGTTTTGCCATGGCAATGTTGTTCATTCCATCTGCCATCATGATCTCAGTCCTGGTCTCTAGTTACCTCTATGGCTCTGTCGCTCAGTCTCTCTACAAAGAACTTCACGAGGAGATAACCTGTGTCATGCAACGCCGAGCTGGACGTTTGGCACGTTCGTATGCCCATCCAATGCGCCCTGCACTTACAGAACCCATTCCAAAAGCATTGAAGCCCACACCCAATAAAGCAAAGCCTTACCGTACGTGCCACCCTTACGTCCTCATTCCGAGTGTTATTCTAACTGAAGCATGACCAGGCCCGAAGGAGTTCGCTTGCAAAATAAATGCTGCCAGTGGTGCTGGGAGCACATCACATATTTCAGGAGGATCAAAGTGTCCGTTCTGTCTCCACTACATCAGCGAGTTCCGTACGTTGTCAATCTCTCATCGCTGATGAATGTCTGTGGGCTTATGATGTGTTTCGATGAAGGTCCCACCAAATGTTTCAAGTTTTACCCAAACGATACTGGCTCACCTGGAAGGTTGAGGATAGCCGTTGAAGAGTAAGCATCATCATCCCCATAAGTGTCTCTGCGGAAAGATAGGCTAACATGCTACAATGAGAGCAGTCGTTACGACGATCGAAGCTACCCCAATATGTCTGATAATGACAGATTCTCTTCGTCCACCGAGAACAGCTTCCTGTAAGCTACTATCTTGTGCATAAATTAGCATCATCTCATGCTTTCCTTCTTGCCATCATAGCCTAGGCCACGTGAAACAATGTGGCAACAGCCATCACTACACCAAATACTATCGGCCCGAAGCCGAACTCCAACCTCATATTCCCCAGGCAGTCCAGCCAGTCAGACCTCACACCCCATCCCATCGACTTTCAAGCCCTCCCCGACATTTCGTCATGCGCTCAACTGAGCTCTCTATAAAGGACTGGGAGGTAAAGATGCGAGGTTTGGAGGCAAAGACAAGAGATTCGGAGGCAAAGGCGCGAGATTTGGAGGCAAAGGCGCGAGGTTGGGAGGCAAAGGCGCGAGGTTGGGAGGCACAGGCGCGAGATTGGGAGGCACAGACGCAAGGTTGGGAGGCAAAGACGCAAGATTGGGAGGCAAAGACGCGAGATTTGGAGGCAAAGACGCAAGTTTTAGAGGCAAAGACGCAAAGTTTGGAGGCAAGGATCAGACATCGAGCTTTGCAGTTGGCGATATGCAGGATTGACGCCTCGATGGACCTCGATGAGGACCTTTTGAGGGACGCTGGGGTGCTTGATGAACTCCATAGGCATGACGAGCTCTAAAGGTCTATCAGCGGCTGCTAGCTTTCAAGCAAATGCCAGTTGACCAGCAGATGACTTTCGGCTCGTCGGCGACGCTCTAACTCAGAGCCTCCCCCCATTGTCAGCCCTGTGGTGGCTGGGTGTCCGAGCGGCCAGCAGAGGGCTTCGGTCTTTTGACGGAGACTCTTCGAGCTGGGGATGACACCAAGTGACCTCAGTCAATGGGGTGGAGGATCTAGGGTTAGGGGACTGGTCAGGGTTGAGGATCGAAGGTTGCTGGTGCCACCCGTGTCGGTGTCTGCAAAGTTCTCTTACATATCTCAGTTCGACTTGTTGACTTTCGCCCCCTCGTCGATTTGTATCTTCACTTTCTATCCATGTACATACACAGTAATCTGTGTATCAGCGACGAGGAGGTTGTTCATTTCCTATGCACTACCATTTTTCCCCCTTGCTTTACCTTCTCCTGCTAACCGTCCGCATGCAGAGGTCTCTGTGTGTTGACGACGTGGAAGTTCGATTTTCACATACTACTACCTTTCTTCTCAACGGGCCTTCGATACGTTGTCGTGCAAGAAAGTGGTTTAAGGGGAAAACAGATCCTTGCCTGGGTGCTGTCGGGGTTTTTCAGGGCCGGACGCACGCAGTGATGGTCTTGAGAAAGGTGGTGTGCAAAAGTGGTAATAAAGAACCGAATGGCCACCAGGGTCGTGTAGGTTGTTTAAGCAATTTGAGTTGCCGCAATTAGTCGCTGCGCGGTCTGAACCCGGATCGGTTCGCCGGGAGGAGTAGGAGCAAGGAGGAGCAAGACGGTACCCGAACGTGGAACGTACGCCATTCACGCATTCGCATAACCTGCCGACAATATCAGCAAGGACAAGACCATCTTATTGATCACATCGGGCGGAAGTAACTATGGCGTCTTGTATGCCGTACCGGACATGTTCAACCATATCCTATCTTGTTCGAAGTAGTGAGATATATAGTCGCGACTCCGGGATGAGATATGTACCATGATAGTGTCTCCCCATTTGTTCCTTTTGCCAACAGCGTGGGACGATAAATCAAACATATCGACCACCCGTTGAGGGTTCTCTTTGAAGATTGTCGCCCATTTCAGATCGAGATCGAGCTGGGAGTGCGCGCCTGAGTTCGGAGTGGAACGGGCAGATCCTGACTCCATACTATGATTCATGCTCGGGATATGCGCCGAGCGCGATATACTGTAGCGCTATAGTAACAAAGCAGGTCAATGCGCGTGTGGCGTGCCGCCCACCTCTTGAGTCTCGCAACGGCATGACTCGAGGGCGGCTAAGAGAGAGAGATGTGTACTTACTTTGGTCTCAGTGTGGATGACCTCGTGAGTGCTTGTGCAGTATGTCCAGAGGTCGACGAAAGATAACAAGAACGAAAAGTGTTCTTGGAAGGATTTGGCTGACCTGATATATATCCCCCTTCATCCCTTTGACCCTTTGTTCAGCGTTGCGTACCGCTGCTTCAAGCTCGTTCCTTTGATCAACTCACACTTGTTGTCCCCCAGAATAGGAAACAATAACTGAGAATAAATTAGCAGTTCATGTGACAACTAGCTTGCCGAAGAAAATGAGAGAATATGCTCGTGAAGATTAGATAAGTGCAATGAGGTCGAAAATTGTCTGTGGATAGAACGTTGCTACCGATTCGGCGGCGGCGAGAAAAAATGCGCTGAGAAGATGTCCATGATTCAGACGAAACCCTCCATCGTGACTGCGCACCGAAGCGAAAGCGCCCCGAGCGCCACCCATTCATCTCGTTCCGATCCCACTCGAGCTCATTGCCACCCAAGTGCAGCTGGACTGTCACCACTCCTACCCGTACCCCTCTTTCTCAATCTCCCACCATGTCCCGCCACATCGTGTCTTCTCCCACTCCCACTCGCCCCTCCATTTTGATTCGTACTTCCTCCGACACTCGTCAAAGCCCTCGTTATCGACATCGTCCCACCTGCCAAGCCCTCCGCCACCTGGACCAAATCGTCCATCCTCGACCTCCAACCTCCGCCTTCCTCAGGTCCGCAGCTAACAACACCATCGCGAATCGGGTTCGATCTAGTGTTAGAGAAGTTACTCGAGGGGTGCCGGTATGGAGATTGTGACAACGGTGGTGGCGAAAACGTCAGAGACGGAGAGCGTGGATGTGCCGGTGGCGCTGGCGGTAGCGCAAGAGACTGTGGTACGGTGTCGTTATGTGGAACGGAATAGGAGGCTCTCCGCCCGTGTCGAGTCTCGTATGGCGGATGATATGCAGTCATGATCGGTCTTTGAAAGGTGATGTCTGAAGAGAACAAGGGGGAAATAGAGGTCGGCGAGCCCCAAGGAGCATGGAGGTACAGTCCTGTGTAAGGTTGAGCGTATTGTTCCCAGCAGGTTCGACAAGGTCGGCTCGGATCTGCATTCTTGAAACCGGTATTCTTGCCTAGAAAAGAGTAATGATGAAAAGATGAACCCATGAATTAGCGTCGTAATGTGTGGCAAGGAAATCTGAGCGTACGTAGAAAAGTAAACGGCAGGAAAGATGAAGGAGCAAGGATGGACAGCGGAGCTGCGTCATGCCTACACAAGACCCAACGATTGCGTATTCCAGTCCAACCACGTCATAGTAGCGCATAAAGATATAACTTTTACTCGTGCGTATACGAAACCACCGGTGTAATAGTTGAAACCATTCGTTCAAGAGCTCTCTGACGTGCAAGGAATGACCAGCATTCGCATAGCCTACTCATGCACCGACGAAGACCGCGAAAAAGGGACGTCTACATCCCATACAGCGTCGTTTTAACCGTTCTCAAAACTCGGGTCGAAGCTCACTGCCCGAAATCGGCCACGCAGCCAAAGACCTCGCAACATCGGACATACAGAGAGAAGAACGGAGAAGAATCACTCACATTTCGCGCACTCGTAGCCTCTCGGATACACCAGTATCATCCCCTGGTTCATCAGAGGGTGCCCCGGCACTGGCACGTTCGTCGGGCTCGCATCCGGCAACTGTCTCCCATCTCTCCCATAACCAGCACCAGTACCATTCCCCGTAGCACTTGAACCCAAACCACTCCCTTCGCCGTTAACACCAGGACCAGGACTAATTCGTCCACCGAAACTCCTCCTCCGCGCATGCCCTTCGTTCAAACTCGGCCTGGGCATCAAATAATCGCGCCCGTTGGATTGTGGCGGATCGCCCGGTGGAGGTGCGTACGTCGATGTCCTCGAAGAGTCAGAATCAACTCCTACGGAAAGCGAGCGCATACGAGAGTACAGATTCGACGCCACTCCTAATCGATCTTGAAGCGACGCGGGCTGTGGATTCGGCTGCGGGTTCGGCTGCGGGTTCGGCTGCGGGTTCGGCTGCGGGTTCGGTCCCCCTTGCGGCTGTGGATTTGGCTGTGGCTGAGGATTCGGTGAGGGACTACCTCGGTTTCGCCTCGAATCCACAAAATCCGCACCAGCGGAATAGAACGCCCTTGCGAAGTCGGAAACAGCAGGCCTACGACCTGAGCCAGACGAGGACTGGGGGGATGATTGAGGCGGCGGAGAATTTGGATATGTGGAAGCGAACGGGTCCGTTGGGCCCGTGGAAGGTATGGGGAACGAATAGTCGTTATCGCTGGTGTATGGAGCATAGGGTTGATTGGGCACGGGCGGATAGGGCGCTGGTGGCGGAGGCGGGGCGATGGATATTGAGGGAGCATGCATGAACGGCGGTGCTATAGGTCGAGGTGGAGGAGGAGGACCTGGAGGACGCGGATGCTGAGGGACATAACCCGATTGAGGTGGCGGAAGATGATGCGGCGCTTGGGATGGAGGATATGGTGGCTGCGGCGGCTGCAGAGATGGGGGTTGTGGTGGCTGAAGTGGAGGCGGTGGCGAAGAATGGGGTCCCGATGAAGGCGACGGAGAAGGCTGTAAGCCTATGTGTGGCCCGGATTGGTGAATAGTCGATAGAGGGGGTGCAGCAGTCGACGGAGGATATGGAAGGGCATGGAGGGTATGCGATGAGTTTGGATGCGAAGACGTCGAGGAAGAACTGGATAGAGGCGGAGGCTGAATATGTGGGGATTGTTGTAGATGCGGGGCGTAGGAGGCGTTCGACGGAGGTGAGGGCATGGGTACAGGCATAGATACGTGTCCTGGAGTACCCGGGGGTTGGCTCATCGGATCGAGCTGGAGAGGAGGAACGACAGACGCGCCATATCCAGAGTTATGTCGAACAGGAGGTACGTGGTTGTAGGTGCTGTAGGATGAAGGTGGACGAGGAGGTACGGGTGGACGGTGGGTACCTGAAGTGGGAGCGTTCGCGGTGGATATCGAACCCGAACTTGTAATACTCGTCGCAGCGTTCGTGGAGCTATCGGGTACACGTTGAGGGCCATCCGTACCCGAGTCCATACCTGCAGAGGCATAGAAATCGAGCGCGAACTGTGATAGAGGCCGTCCGTCCGTCGATGGCGAAGAACGAGTATGTGCAGGGCGAAGAGTCGAATTAGGTGAGTGTGGCGCGGAGAGTGGCCTTGGTGGGGCAGATGAAGGTTGAATTGCGAGGACGGGAATATGAGGAGAGGATGTCGAAGGTGGGGGTGCGTGTGCTGATGAAGGCTGGTGGTAGACTGTCGGAGAACTGGGTAGGTTGGACTCAGCGAGACCTTGGCTACCACTAGGCTCTCCTCCATCGTCAACGTCTATCGGAACCGTGCTCTCTCCCGCACTCTCATCTGCCACGAGCGTATACACAGGCGGTGGGAGATCGTCCTCGTGGTCCGCATTGGAGTCTACGTGGATGAGCGGTGCTTTCTTCTTCGGGGTCACCCTCTTCGTAAACACTGGTTTCGCGGCTTTCGGTTTTGCGCCAGGTTTGGCTGCAGCACAATGTCAATTTCGTGGCTGGTCATATCGTGTCAGGGAACGAGTGGAAGAGAGGAGAAGAGAGGAGGAAGGGAGAGAGGGAAAAGACGCACAGGCTTCTTCTTCACGGGCGCATAGTCGTCCGAAAAAAATGCCATACACGCGGATCCGTTCTCGGTAAGTTGCGCTGGGAGGCGGAGGTGAATTGAAGTGAGTGGTTCGTGCACTCGAAGTATACGGCTTTGCGCATGAGACAGAATAAGTACGAGGCCGCGCTCTCTGCCAGGCTGAGAGAAGAGCGCATGAGCTGGAGTCCAGCGGTGGATACGACAAAACGCACCTTGTACCAGACTTGCCACAGCTTCGCGTCGTCGGCGGAGGCCACGAGCAGCCGCTAGGTCAACTCATCCAGGCCACCGGTATAACCCACGGCGGGGCGTTCGTGGCGCTGTATGACCCCCTGTCCTGGTCGTTCAGCTCCTGCTCACGGGTGTTGACACGGTGGTTAGCCGCTGAGGCACCTCCTTCTCGTGGTTGAACTGGTCGAAGGGGCTTTGGGTGCCAAGGATGGTGGTGCGTCGTTGATGTGTGCGAGGAGCGATGGACAGTGCGATGTGCTGATTGATCGCGTTCTTCCCATGCGACACCGACATCGTACTTGTTGAGAGCGTCTTCGCGGCGAGAGAAGAGTGTCCAGGGGATATCACAGCGGTTGTCATCAATCGAGGTGGACCAGCGCCCAAAGCCTGAAGCGACGAGATCTGCCACCTGCGGTTGACGAGGTCATAGATCGCGAGACCATAGACGGTAGAAGACGAAGAGTCGACCATGTTGAACTCTCCGCGGATATAGAGGACGTCGTCCTGGACGACAAGGGTGCGTGCCGTTGAGGGTTCCGTCTCCGGTGAGGGGAGACAGGGTGCTGGTGCTGAGATCGTAAGAAGGCGATGATTTCGGGAGTGGTGGAACCGTTAGTGAGATGGCACGAAGAGCCGCACAAACGAACAAGAAACGAAACAACGCACCTTTGCAACAGTACACAAAAGGGGCATACAAAGGAGTTACTTATGCCACAGTGAGCACTGAGGCCGCGAATGTGGAGAGGGAGGTGTTGAAGGCTTGGAGCGAACCTGCCAGGGAAGAGTCTACCGTCTCGACATCCAGTATAATTATGACCCGGTGAGCGTTGCGCATATTATGTCCGTAATATAGCCTATCTCGTGCGTTACTGAACCTATTCAGCATTCGACCGACACATAGCCAACACCGATCAGTTCCAGCCCATCACATATACTCGAGCAAAAAGTAAGAACTCACCCTGCGGCGTCATGGGCCCTTGAGGAGTTTCTCGAATAGAAAGCGGGCGATGTCCTGTAGGTTTGCCGCGAGTTAGCGTTGATCGATAGACTAGGTAGGTGAGCAGAATATATCGGAATGGAGCATACGTACCACAGCGCTCAACGGATCGTCCAAAAGCACATACTTCGTTGGCGCATACACTGCTCTTGCAAGTGCCACTCTAGCCTTCTGTCTACCCGAGAGACTCACTCCCCTACTATCGGCATAGAAGCAATTCAATTAGCACTCATCGCCGAACCCATCTCAAGCCCTATCGACGGACTGCGTCAGAAAAAAAGAACCCACCTCGCGCCAATCTCCGTCTCATCCCCATCCTCCAATATTTTCGAATCAGGACCCAACGCACAGCTCTCCACGACCTCTTCGTACCTCTTCTCATCATACGGATACCCAAACAGGATATTTTCTTTGATCGATTGATGCCGAAGCCAGGGTGATTGGGCGGCGTAGGAGATCGTGTGGGTGAGATGGGTGACGGGATCGACGGTGTGGGGGTCCTGGGGGACACGGTAGCACGAGTGAGAGGAAAGCAAGGAAAATGAAGAGAAAGACGTACCTTATGCATGATCAACTTCCCGGGCGGATTCGTCGGCAACATCGTCATCTCGCCCAACAGCGCCATCTACAGCAACCCGCTAGTCAGCACCGTCGCACATTCACCCTCCCCCAGTGAAAAACCAAAGAAGAAGAATTACGCACCAATAACGCAGTCTTACCACTCGCTGTCGGCCCCGTAACCGCCGTCAACTCACCCTCCGAAGACACAACATTCAAATCCCTCAATTCAAACCGATGCTCGTTCCCTCTTCCCGTTATACTCTCCCTATCCGCTGCTTCCTCCTCGTTCGTACCGGCGTTAGTGTCGGCGGTACTAATAGGAAGCGTAAGCGTAGCATCCGTCTCCTCCGAGCCTCGTTGCGTGCCGTTCGTTCCATTGCTATGGCCATTTGTCTCCGCCCCCTTATCCTTAGCGTCATCCTTTTTCTTCTCTTCGACCTCATTCCACTTGAACGACGCGTTTCTGAAGCCCAAGCCTTCTTTATCTGTATCATCGCCGTCCGCAGAAGACGATGATGAGGCTCCCGACCGAGTCCTTTTCAGAGAGGATACTTGTTCGTCTACCTCGTCTTCGTTGAGATAGACGGAAATACGGTTGAGGGCTACGCCGGTCTAGGTTGCCACAGCACCGCGCCACACCAACCACGAAAGCGAAAAATGATCAGGGGTGAGTCAGTCTCAGTTCAGTTCAGGATGTTGGGTATAACGGTCAGGACGGCAAGAAATTGAATGTAGATTGGTGGCGGGCCAAAAACACATACCTGCAGTATCTGCACGATCCATGCCGGGATAACGTTGAGGGGTGCACGGATCATGTTGAACAGGGCGATAGCCTACAGAGCGAACACGAGTTAGTTCCAGCGTCAGTGAACGGACGGCGAAATAAACGAGGTGTGAATCGAAAGTAACAAAGATTTCGGGACTCGAAAGTGGGCAAGAAGAAAAACGGGCCGGCAAGGAAAAGTACTACGCACCGTAAACGCAACGCTAACAGTCAACTCGTTTCCCCTCATCACATACACCCAAAACGAGATAATAGACACCAAAATCGGCGCCGTCGTCCACAACGCGGAGAATAGGACGGAGTTCACACGGGCTATACGCCGAACAAAGACAACGATAACGGTCAGTATTGGGATATGTCATCAGAGGTCGATGGAAGAGGTTTGCGGTGTACCGGGTGAAGTTCGAAGGAAGTGGGCTGGGTAGAAGGAGAGCGAACGAACCTTTGATCATCCATTTCATTTCGGCTTCCCTCGCATCGAGTGCACGTTCGATCCAACGATCCTCCCATGCAAAAAACTTGATAAAGTTGACCTAAAAGCGCAAAATCAGCATCTGTGTCATCCGAATCCTGTGATCCTCCTCGCGACCAACTTGGAACTGGAAGCAGAGAGCGCAAAGAACTTACTGCGCCAATCAACTCATTCAACACCCCCATCCTCCTATCCCTCGCGGCCATCATGCCCTTCTGGATCCTAATGCTCCTCCTCGCAATGAACGAATTAAGCGGCCAGCCGAGGAGGAGGACGATGAAGCCCGCGAAGGCGGAGATGCCTAGTAGTCTGTATTGGGGGTGGGAGTGCGGAACGTGTCAGTTTCGCGCAGAGGACGGGTGGAGAATTGAAGTTGAGGGAGGCTGGGGTACACAGTTTCATTCATGGAGGGAGGGGATAGACGGTATGATAGGAATAAGTCGGTGTTGGGGCAGAACGTAGGTGGGAATGCGAAAGCGGAGAACAGAGAGGAAGAAAGTAAAGTATCGAGAAACGCACTGGTACAGAAACACACTGGCGATGATAATCTCAAATGGCGCTATGAAACAACCCATTCAGTCAGCATCCACGTATACTCATCTCACCTCTCACACATCCTTCCACGAGAAAGTAAGACTCAAATTGGGAACGTACCTCCATAGATGAAATATATCCCCGATATCATCATCGCGCACTATAATAAAAGAATCATCGTCAGCGACCATCGAGAGATCCGATCCCACTGCTATCAAGAGCCAGAAATGAAAACGAATAGACGAGGCGACCCCGCAGGAACGCAGCGGAAGACGAGCGTTTGCTCGATATACGAAGGGAGGGGGACTCGCTCGCATAGAAGAACCAAAGAGAGATCAAAACATTCGGAACGAACGGGGTCTTAAGAGGGGTCATGATGATCAGTTCAGAACGAGCGTACCCGCCTCCTTCTCTTTCCATCTGACCGTATACCGTCGCCAGAAAAAAAGGAATCGCAAGATCCCCCACCTCGCGACCGCACAACAACGCAAATGCACAGTCCGCCCCACTCAAACCAAACACGCATTCCAAACCTCCGGACCGCAAGCCAACCACACCCCTCAAAGCATAAAACACAACACAAAGCAAACAAAAATAAAATAAAAACCCACCCGATTCGCATCTCCCGCCATCAAATTCACGATCTTGCCCACGTCCGCGCCCGCCTTAGACTCGTCCCTCTTATCCTCCGCCTTCTTCCTCTCCTCCTTACTCATCTGCTTCGCCCCCATACCGCCACTCGTCGCAGCGGCACCACCAGGATTGGCATTAGAAGAAGCAGCCCTTAAAACCCGCGCATCATCCGCCGCCAGCGCCTTACTCGCCAACACGTCCTGATCCACAATCCCGCTGAAATCTTTCCGTTTGAGGGCTTTGTCGTAGATGGAAGCCATGAGTTCGGTTCGGATGTGGGTGCAGGCGCGACGGCCGTACCAGAGGTGTTGGACGTCTGCTTGGGCCTGGTGAAATGTGGGAGCAGATGGGTGAGTAAGTGTGGGTGAATGGGGGATGTGTGGCAAGAGGGAAAAGGGAAGGAGACATGATCGAGGGTTGACGGTGGAGATTAGCGTGGGATGGGGATAGAGGTTGTATCATGTAAACGGAGCCAACGACAATCGTATACGCATAAACGACTCGACCCACCTTCGCAACAGTACACAAAAACGCGAGGGCGGCATACATATACGCCTGGCTCCGCTTCTGCCTTTTCACCCCGGAGTGGTCGTCGATCGCCCCGAGGATGCGCTGGACAAAGGAGGGGAAGGCTTTGAGGAAGTGAAAATCTGGTCGCAGATGGAACGGGTGAGAGACGTGGAAAGCTCGCGGGGATCGTAGCCTAGAAAAAACAATCAGTACTCGAACGAGATAAAAAGAATGAACAGAAAACGTACCATCTTCGGTGTGGAACACCGGGATATTCAAGTCCTTCACGTCCCACAACTCCCCATCCTTCATCTTCCGTACAGAGCTTGTCGACCGCATCCTTCAAGTACTTGCTATGGTATGGGACTCCGACAGTGAGGAAACAGCCGTAGAAGACCGGCTTGCGCTGCGAGAAGGGCGTTTTGCTCTGATCGACGCCACTTGGAGCCTTGACCTTCCTGAGGCTAGGAACGACACCGTAAAGCACACGAGGAGGACCGGTAACGACGAAAGCCTTCGCGCCGTTATGGAGAGGGATGTGAAGTTGAGAGTTGGAGGGGAGGTGCTTGTTCGTCTCCGCGACGTGCGGCTCTAGATCCTTGAGCAGCAGGCCAACGACAGACAACATAGAGGTGGGAGAACCCTCGCCACCTTCGATCGATTCCTCCACGACGCTAGGGAGACCAGCATGGAAGAGCCATCGGAGTCCCTGGTGTGCGTTCTTGGGATAGCTCGCGTCGTCGGTAGACGCAGAGATGCAGACAGCGGTAACGAGACCTTGCAAGTGGCCCGTGGTACCGGCAAGTCTTGAATTGAGCTCCGTGTACGATAGTCCAGAAACGCGCGGGACGATCAGATACTGCACGAACTGCGTGAGGCCGATAGGAGGGAGTGAGACTGGGATGAAGGCGAGGTAGGAGACAGGACGAACAGGTGAGGCGCCAGTAAGCCACGAATAAACGTCAAGCCCGTGTGAGTGATAGGAGGTCGTCGAAACGTTTGCGAGAGGGGAGAGGACTTCGGAGACGGCGAGTTTGATCCAGTCCTCGACGAACGGTGGGTAGATGTCGAACAGAGATTGCAGCTGATCAAAATCAACTTCGTTGATTTCTGTGCACAGCAAAACAAAAAGTAAGCATGCGAACTATAGCACGCGAAAACACACACGTACCTCCGTGGCTACAGAATGCCTGAAAAAGGTGCAGTATAGTCGCCGGCGAGACAGTTCGTGGTATCTTGGTGGGGTGCGGGGCAGCCTTGGATCACAGGGTGGGAAAAGGCGAGCAATCTATGTACTGGAGGTTGACACGATGCTGGCGTGCGTATGCCTGATAAGTGCTGATGTGTGCAGGCGTTGGTGAAGGACTGAACACGATGCAGCGTGACTTACCATCAATCGCCCACGCAGCGAGCATACAAAAACCTGCTGTTCCCGAGTCTTTCGCCCTTGCACACCCCCCGTCACTATTTCTCGTCTTTCTGTGCGCAAACTCGCAGCCCTGGACTTGGCGCTGTGATCAGACATAATGTGAGTACTCAATTTTGTGGGTATAGGCATGTCACAGCACGATTGGCGTACCATAACGTCTTGAGGGCCGAATATCCTGGGTATCGTGTTGTGGCTGACGGCCGTCATGAGTCCCTTACCATAATACCGTAAGACGGCGATATCGTCGTGCAAGCACTGAGCGAGACGCCTTTCCGCGGGTGTTATGGTAGAGATCATTGTGGTCGTCATTATGTGGCTATTTTGCCGGAGGCTGTCGACGTGGCTGCCGGGATATTGAGTCACAGCAATGCTGACTCAGCGCTAGTGCCACAAAGCATGCGACTAAACCAGCACGAGAGAGACGCACGAGAGCGGGCTACACAGAGCTGTACGTAGACCCATAGTGCCACCCATTCTCTCGGTCAAGCTCACACGGACCCCCTTTCATAGTCGTCGATTTCCTATCCTGCAGAAATGTTATAGCACTTCTGCAGAGTACGGAAGGCGAACTTGCTGCACGGGAGCAGGAAGCTGTTTGCACCTTGATCATCGAGGCACACAACTACGGCTTCCAAGATCTAACAGTAAGAACCCTTGATATAACCCATTGGATTATCCTCATCATGGTATTTCCCTACAGTACGATGAGCTCATTTCGAAGATCCTGCGTGATGGGGGGCGGGCTGCAGAGCAGGACACAGTCATCGCGGATGCTCTGAGCATATTCCGCGAACAGCGCGATCTCCGCCGCTGAATCCGAAAGGCAAGATTGGGCTCTCAAGCCGCTGCTACACAGGACGCTGTACCGGCCCTTTGTCATGCACGCGAGCGAACCTATTCTGTTATTGGTGACGATCTATTTGAGTGCAATCTACGGCGTGCTCTACGGACGTGCGTACCCCTCACCCGGCGTATCAATTAGTCGTCGTCGTATTCGCTTCGTTGCTCACAGTCTTCGAGGCCTTCCCTATCATCTTCATCGAACGCCACAACCTTTCCATCTCCCAAAACGGCCTCATCTTCCTCAGCCTCTCAATGGGCGCCACGCTCGGCGCCCTCCTCAAACAACTCCTGCTCAACCACCACTCCTATTATATGTCGTACTACCGCGGCTTTCCGCCGCCCGAGAAACGACTCTATGGAGCGATGATCGCGGGCCCGAGTTTGGTTGTGGGGAGTTTGTGGCTGGGGTGGTCAGGCCAGTATGAGAGCGTGCCTTAGTATGTGCCGGCGTTGAGTGGGATGTTGATTGGGGCGGGGATCATTTTGATTTTCGTTTCGTTTTTGGTGCGTTTGTTCTTACTTCGTTCTCATTGGTTGATCCGCCAACTAATATTCCCTGCGTGTAAACTTTCTTTTTCAGAGCTATCTTATCGACACCTATATGATGTATGCCGCCTCTGCATTCGCTGCGAATACCATCATTCGATCCGCCGTCGGTGCCGCATTCCCGCTCTTTTCCCTGTTTCGTTCCAGCTTTTACCCCAGGATCCAACTGATCTCTTTCATCTTCAGGTTCTTCTTCAGCCCATCTCTCAATCACATCAGCCGATCTTCCACCGAACCAACGACCGTGAAGTTGTCAACGTGAACCAACAAGATTGCCAAAGATCCGTCGTCGAAGTGTTTGAAGAAGACTCCGCGATCGACATCGCAGCGGTGGAGGCCAATGATGACGACGAGGGCATGAACCAGGTGTTTGTACCATCGTTTGTCCGCTTGCTTCAGGCCATAGCCGGTCTTCAGAAGTAAGCCCACTTTCGTCTCCTCTCCCTTCTTCTCGAGTCCTGGCGGCTGGCGAATATAGATCAGCTCATTTTTGTGAACCTCTGTGTTCAGATAGGCACTGACTGCATCCATCTGATGCAACAGGCCACTCGTAACGCGCCGCCAGCGATAGGCATATCCGGATCGACGTGATCTTCGCGACAGGAACAGATGTGTCGAAATAATCGACCCCTTCGATCTGAGCGAATCCTTTCACGAGAACACGAGCACGACAGTCGAAGACGCCGCCGAGAGCCTCCCGTTTGTATGCGTAGACCCAACCAACATCAAGGATATTGGCATCAGGAGGTAGGTCAACCAAAACCATCACCTCGTTCTCCTCCCATCGACGCTGTTCGTCGAGCATCGCTACCCACAATCTCGGCCAATCCGCCCGTCTCTTTACTTGTACTAACGTTCTCGATTCCAGCCCCAGGTCCTCGAACGCCGCCGCCATCGCAATCTCAACCTGACCATCGCGCACAAAATCCACCTCGACCACGACCATTTGTGCATCCTCAGTCGTAGGAACTTGAAGACCGGTTGGAAACTGTGGCCCTGTCATCCCTGTTCGCTTGTAGTCTTGAATATCGGCCTGGATACGCCTGACGTAGGCGGAGGGTTCCACGGTTCGTTTTGGGTGTCCAGATCCCTGCTCGTCATGGGCTAATCCGATGTCGGTCGCAGATGGTGTGGTCAGTCCGCGAGCGGGATGGAATCAGGACGCGCCATGGTGTACCCCACCCCGTCGCCCGAAGTCTCTCGTCGGTCGTGCACGCCCCCGAATCAGGCCGTCCGAACCTGGTCGCACAAGGTATGTTACTCGCACGCGCGCCTTCTTGTTCCCCGACTTCGCTGACTGTCGTTATGTCACTGGAGACAAATTCCTGTATAGTCGGTGAATTTATCCTGAAGATAAGCGGCGCTTCCTTCATTACACAGGATATTACATCGGAACATCGAGAAGAGATTGGTCGCGAGTTCTATGACAATTTTGCGCGTGGATTATTCTCTAAGACGACAATGTATGTGCTGCTTGCTGCTTGTGCAGTTGACGAGTCTGTGTTTGAAGTTGGTGGTCGAGGCATTTTTACACGCACTCTCTTCGAGACACCGGGCTCTGTGGCAACAGAGCTGGGCGGTGCAGCTCATAACCTTCCTGAAGATCAAGAACAACCAGTAGTTTCTTCTTTTCAAAATGGCATGATCATGGTGATGTTCGAGTGCTCGGGAGTGAGGGTGTGCGTCTGTGTGCGCATTTACATACTATTAGAGCTCTCAGTACATTGTATCATCGATTCCGCGAGCATATAAATACTGAAAAGGCCGACTACGTATCCCAAATTCACTCATGTCATTGCTTAGATCGCACTATATGCACCCGTCAATGAAAAGCGTCGGTGTGGCTTTCACGCCACGTAACTTCTGTGATCTCTCGCCACTTGGCGTAACCTTCAGGTTCGTCGCTAACAACTGCTATCAAAATACTCTTCACATCTGTCTCAATCTCTGTGATACCTACCAAGAGTCGCTGTCGATTCGAGTCCAGAGATGTCGCACTGGGTACTACCGTGTCTGATTGTCGATAATAGTGGCGTGAGAGACGGGATTCAGATATATACTCTTTTGGCTAGTTCCCACGAAGACGGTAACCTTCGCTCCCACTACCACCTTCACTCTGCTCTTTTTCACTGAGCATCAGTCTCGGCAAGCTAACCACCAATACTTTGCCCATATTAGCTCGATCTCGCTTTTTCACAAGTTTGTTTATCTTCCACTGAGAACAAAAAAGTTTCACAGCTCACAGAATCCTTAGCTATGGCCTCCATTGCCGCACAACCGGTGCAAGGGGTCTGCCAGAAGTGTTTCAACGTCGATATTCCCAGATCTGCCAACAAGAGGTGCAGTGGGTGCTTAGTTGTTCACTACTGTGTTCGTTTTCCCATGCTGCCCTACTCATCATATCAATCGTTCCATGGACTTGCCGCCGCCCTTTCACTAGTACAACCCAGTACTGACCTCCTTTTTGTTGTTCAGGGCCTCTCTTGCCGAGACTCAGACTGGAAACACCATCATAAAAAATGGTGTAAAATCTTTGCCAATATATTCAAGGGCACTCACTCCCAATCCACGAACACCACATTGCTATCTATTCCATCGTCAATCGCAGCTCACCGTCGCCCTGACTTTGACCAGGACGTCTCATCCTTCCTAGCCCTCGCAAATCCCATCCTAATGCAAACTGCTATCCAAGCACTTGACCTGCCCGTCAAACCTCTCAACCATACTATTTCTACTCTCCATGTCGGCCTCAGTTACAACCAAGATCAAGACGACCCTCTCCACAGATTCACATTCGTATCTCTCGAGCTTGTGAACATATCCGACATCATGGTGATGCCCAAAAGTTCGCTGAGCAGAGCCATGCCCATGCGAGCGGAGATGGATGAAGATGCCATTCGCAACGGGGATCATGGTGCCACCATTATATCCCTCGACATCTTCGACGCTGGACAACGTATAGACGGTACTCCGTACATGTCATTCGAAGCCCCTCACTCTATCGCACAAGTCTTTCGTATACCTAGGAAGAGCGCCACAGTCTCAGGCAGCCGAAACTATGCGCTCACTTTTGAATCTTGGATGGACGGGGTTTTGCATTCCCATGCCTGATGTCGCATTGGTACGTTTGTTATCATTGATCGCTACATGTTGTTACCTCTCTTCTCAAAGGTGTCGATGGTTCTGACATGTTAAGCCATAGGTTGAGGATTGCAACTGGAGCGCGATGTCGATTTCTTGCACTGTATCACACTATTGGTAGTTGATTTCTGTTTTCCGATGTGTACATTATGTCGTTGTCGGGCCCGTATCTTTCTCCTTTGTTCTGCCATGGCATACGACCATAAAGCATGAAGCCTTTTTCAACCAAGACTGTTGCTGTAATTCACATCTCAGGTACGAAGACAGTTGCAGTGATCGGGTGTGTTGAAGGGGTTTTGTGCCACTAGTCTGCTTTTTGACGCGATTTCCTTAGTGGGTCCACTTGTCATACGGAGTTCTAAATGTAGAGGCTTATCCTCACTGCGGGGTTCGAAGCACAAATCAAAAGTTAATTAATTAGGTATATCGTGACGGAGGGTTCGTGCATCGTTAAGTGGCACGGACGCCACTTCACTGCAAGCTCTACGCTATTCGTACTCTACACGTCTCCTAGCGATGGCAGACGACAATTTTGATCTGAACCTCTCTGGGACTTTGGCTGAGCCTGACGATGACTGCTCAGATGACACTGCAAGCCTCGAGGCTCGCACGGAAGACATACCTTTGGATACCAGTCTCGAATGCCCTCTGTCCTAGAAAGCTCGGGGTGAAAACCTAGAGGAAGTCTGCAAATTAATCAGTGGACACAAGTGGAATGTAGGAACTTTCCAGGCCGACCTCTTTGCACATACAAAGAAGAACAATCCACGGAACACCCCCGTCCGGACGGCCATGGTCGCACGAAGGTTCACGCAGGCCACACCATGAAACTACAACTCACGAACCCCTATTCGAAACCCAAGGCCGTCCGTAAATCGAAGAATCGTGACGCCAGCGCAGTCAAGCGACCAGACGAGACGAAAATGGCCCGCTGGCATATGAGGGAGGTAGCAATTGAGGAGGTAGCGGATATAGTTGATAAGGAGGCGGAGAAGATGGCTTCAAAAGAGGGAGGCTTTCATCTGGAGACGAAGAAGAGGTCGTGGGCTTTCGTCTATGCTTTCACCATAGCTATACGCTCAAGCTTACTGAGAGAAGTGCGCCAACCATCCTCCGTCTCATTGTCGCAGTTGCATTTGGGAAGAAGAAGCGCCCCCAGCCCGAAATTTTGGTGGACGGCAGTCGAACCTATGCTGCGTATGTCACGGATGATAGGCCACTGGAGAGGGAAAGGGAAGAATCGTCAAGATCCGTGGATGGTGAGTAAATCCCACATTGAATCAGTTTGATTGCGTACTCACGCCAACCCTTTAATCCTAGGTTATCTTGACTGTCATTATGATGCTCATGAATGTACGGAACCTACATGCAAATTTATTTCAGTACATCATCGGTGTCTGGTTGTTCTCAAATGCTGTGGCTGTCGAAACCTACGTGATCTTCAACCGTCTTGGCATATCCATCGCTTACACCTCCGTTCTCGATTTCCTCCACACACTCTCCAGCAAGACACGCGAGGACTTACAAAAAAGCGCGGTTGGACGTCTCTGGCTACTCATTTACGACGACATCAATCACATGTTCCGGCCTGGCAATCCTGACATCGGGGATAAGGACACGATGCATTGTGGGACAGCGGGAACTAAGGTGGAGATAGAAGATTGTGAGGCAGAGAAAGCTTTAGACCCGGAGCCACTCCACAAAGCACAAGCCGAAGGACGTCGGAAGGCCCGCTCACTCGATACCTTACTCAAAAAACTCGACCATGCGAAGATGTCCTCTATCTTCAAGCTCCACATCCTCAGCTTTCTCATCGAAAATGTCGAGCTCCTCGCTCACCATCAAGAACTCGTCACGCTCCGACTCCGGACCACTGACGCTGTCCACCGCATGCGCGATGGTCGTAAAACGAAGCTTTCGCCCCTGGCGACCAGCGATCTCAACAGCGGGAATACAGCGGAGACCGCAAAAGTTCTCGACGATTACATCCTCGACCAGATGAACTTGCCGAAGGACGAAGTCCACAGGTTTCTCTGCATCGTCGGCGGCGACCAATCCTCGGTCGAAAACTTCGTACTCTGAAGAAGTTTGTCGACGACTGTCCACACGGCAATGCGCGCTATGGATGGGTCGTTCCGCTGATCCAGCTGTGGCATATGGGGTGGGCCGACCTCGAACGCGTGCTCAAAGCACACTAGGGCCACTCGACCGCAGACGACCTGTCCTCATACCGCTCCACCAACGTTCTTCTTGACCGGAAAGTCAAGAACGTTAAGTGTCCCGACTACTACCCAGCCCAGCATTTGGTCGTCGATACCTTGAAAGCTGACGTTCTGAGTGCATGGAAGTGAGTCGTGTTTCAACTTCGTGCACATTGGCCTGGACTGGACTGACGGGCGTCGAGCATGTAGAACTCACCTTGGTACATCAAGCCTAGACTCCTATTCCGAAAACCACGATCTCGACTTCGAGGACCTCCTTGCGCATGCGAAGACTATTGGCCAGCGATATACGACCGCGACGGCGTACGAGGTGGCCTACAGGGTGGCGCAGCTGCACGGGAGTTCTTCCCTGTCAGTAACCCATGGAACGGGAAACCGACGACAACAGCCGAGTCCATGCCGGGACAGCGAGGGAACCGGTTTGGGCGAAGAGTCGGTAAGAGAGGATCCAAAATTGTGTGGACCAAAAGACTAAATCAGGTCCCCCATGGTCAACGCTCCTGTCTACGGCGAAGAAAGCCAGAAAAATGTTGTGAAAGCTTACTTGAACTGTATCACGTGCGCCGGTGGTGACACCGGTGGAAGATTGTCGGCGTCGAGGAGGATTTCGACGGGTACCTGGGCCTGTCGCCCTATCATGCGATCTCGCATACTGAGGACGAAATTGCGAGCTTGAGAAAGGTGCGACTCCTTGATGAAGTAGACGTGCTCAAGTACTTCGTCGAGGAACTTAGATACGGGCTTTTCAGTTACGGAGAATATTGATGAACGAAATCAGGCACATGGTTGCCTCGGAAACATCTCATCTCGAAAGACTGTTGGATGCCAGAGTACGGCTTTGTCGTGAATTCCACGTACTGCACCTCCGACTAGAAAGGTTTCCACAAAGTTGTTCCATTATCGACGGCTGAGAATGTTACGGGATCAAGAACCATTGGTTGGGTGATGATGGAGGAAGAGACTGAGGACGTACACGGAAGTGAAGGCTTCTCCTTCAACCTCAAAGTAGGCTTTTTGGTGAGGGACAACGACAACATCCTGAGACAAGAGTGTTGTATCGCGTTAGGAAAGGTGACATCTCGAAAGATCGAGAATGACGAGGCATACTTGTCCCATGTATATGCCGCCCAATATCTGCATAATTCTGCCGTCCGTAGCTTCTCGGGCTAGCCTTCATAGTTGCGATTGAGACGCTCCCATACAAGGTCTATCTCATGGAATGATTCGTCAGACAAGAGTGCCGGGAGGGGAGTGGTTTGTTCTGGGCACTTACTTTCGATCATTCGGAATGCGTACCGGCCATGACCCATGCCTGAGAGTACAGGCCCTCAGCAGCATTGTGACCAGGAATGAGGAGGAGACCTGGTGTAAATCAGCATGCAACCTCGAAGAATATACATACAAGCGAGAAAGACCAGGGATAGAGACGCGATGGATAGACACAATGGATTCGCTGAGGACACACGGGGTTGGGTTGCGAGATACGAACGAGATCACCCAGAAAACAAGCTCGAGATCAAGAAATCGGGAAGAAAGAAGATGAAATGGGCCACAAGAAATCCGACCAAGGGCAGACAAAAAAGAACAAGGTCCGCAAACACTCACTCATCCCCTTGACCTCGCCTCCTCCACCGCCTCCCACACATGCAAAACCTTCCTAGCCCTCCTCAAGGTACCCATCGTCACGTTGAATCCCTCCACGTCCTTCAACCACACACCTCTCTCCCTACACCGTCCCAGCACCTTCGCCCAAAACTGCACCACAGCCCTCTCCGGTCTCCGCCTCCTTATCGAATCGCTCTCCACGCTCAGATCCCTCAGGTACTTCAGGTTAGGGAACGCTTCGGGACTGAGGATCGAGGAAATTTGTTGCAGGAGGGGAAAAAAGGCGGTATTGTCCGCCGAGGGCACGTTGGTTGTCAATGCAAGCGCTAAGATGATACGCGTGTCGATACCGCGGAAAGCGATCATTTCGAGTCGGGGATGAGAAGGCAGCAACACATGCGGTGCGATCCAGTCCGGACTCTCCCAGTGCCCTGATCAAAGAGAGCGGACGCACCGAGTGAATGTTTGGAGGTGATGAGCAGTTTGTCAGGCGTGAGTGCGCCGATGAAAATAATGCAGCCGTTTAATTTGAGCGTGAGCGTGTACGGCGGCGTTGTATGTTCTTCGAGGGCCGCCCACTATCAAACAAGGTCAGCTAGGGAAAGGGGGACCGACCAGAGAAAGCACGCACGGTAGTCCACGGGACCTCCCCGATGATAGCAAACTTATCATACCCCCTCGCCACGATCCTATACTCCCTCTCCCTCTCTCCGCCACTCTCATCCTCCTTCTCCTTGACATCCCGCTTCCATCCGTCACATCAACCGTAAACAGCCCCCTTGCCAACGTCGGAAACGGACTCGCGATATCATGATACTTGAACTCATTCGTCTTCTAGCTCTCGACGATGATGCTCGCATCCTGCGGCGCCTCGTATTTCGACGATCGGACGAGTTTCGGGGATTGTTTGTGCAAACGGTGCAGCGCATTGATGAGCTCTGAGTCGGAGGGGTTGTATTTTGGGGGCAGTAGGGCGGCCATGGTTATAGTCCTGATGTTAGTGTTTTGTGCTCTGGGTACGCAGTGAGTGGTGGTGGTTAGTCGAGATAAAACGTCGTAGATTGTTGTTCGGAAATATGCTGCCATTGCTATGAATAGTACGATGGTGGGCGAAGACGAGTGGGGAGAGCCGACGGGCCTGACGTTTTGAGGGCTGGCGAACGCGATGTGAGTCGGATCGTGACTCTGTGGATGACTCTGTGAAAGGTCGCGTCGAGATCGAGTCACAGAAGCTCAGAAGCTACTACGTACACTTGGGTGTTGAGGCCTAGGATGTAGGTGCACCGTCACTGAGGTTCGCGTCGAGGACTGCACAGTTGTCACCGCGTCGAGATTAGACAGGTGTAACACGACTTGGACCAAATATTGAGAACAAACCTTCCAAAAACAACGCGAAACTCAGATGTCCTATTCTCGAATCCAGACGGCCAGGTCGAGTTTGAGCAAAGTTTGAGATGGATGCAGACGGCAAAGAAGAAGCGATCACTTTCATTTCAAGGTCCCAGGCGGACAAAATATCTCGCGTGCAAGATGCCATTTTGGCACCCGATACTCACCCTATTTGGTAGACCTACCTCATTGGCGGGTGTTTTCCCACACAAAATTCGATTCGGAACTCAAACTCGTTTTCAAACTCGTTCTCGACCTCAGAATTCGTTGGGAATCGTCTCGCCGGCCGATCAGTGTGCGGTGAGATGCAAAATGGGCAGTTGCATCTCCGAAAGGGACCCTCACGCCAGCCGACCCCAGGAGACGCAAAAGAAAAAGAAGAGAAAAGAAAAAAGAAGAATAATAATAATGTCCCGGTGGCCAATATCCTGCCTCCAGCATTGAGTCACCTGAAACTCTCGTCTTTATTATTTGATGCACCTCCACGGCTGCAACAGGCTCTCCTGTTGGGTATAGACACCTTCGCCACCTGAAGTACACCTGAAGTGCCGCGCCTCTGGAGTTCGAAAAGTCCGCCTATAGGCCTATAGCGGGCAATTCTTTCCCCGACTGGCGAGGGTATGTCTGCAGGGTCCTAAAGTCTTGCACACTCTCTTTGCATCAATGGGCACATATAGCTGATATTCAGTGGAGTGCCTTACGCTTTAAAGGCATACACGGGCAATACATGCGCCACAATGGCTACAGGACAAGATGTGGCCCCGGCAACCGGCACCTTTGATGCCCAATATGGGACACTGGTGGCCCCATCGGGCACTAGTCTCCCACAGACGGACCTTGGTGTTGAAGACAGGACGTTCAACGTGTCAAGTCGGGCACTCTCCATCCCTGTATGGCCTTTCAAGCTGGGAGTTTTAGTAGTACCAATGAGTTTTGAAAACGAGAATGAGTTCTGACAATGAAAACCAGTTTTGGCATCAAGAACGAGTTGAATATGGAAATGATGGTTCGGTTTCTGTCAAAAGTGCGAGAACGTCCCGATTTGATTAAAAACCGGTCCGGAAACCACTGTTCTCATGCGAATAATTTTGTCCGGTGAGGACCTTCATACTTTCATGGACGCACTGACGTGGTGACGCGCAATTCCCGCAGGCGCGGCGTGGTATTTGGGCATTGTTTGGTCCCTGCCAAACGCGCTAAACGGGTGGTCCGCAGGTAGATTATTTTATCACACAGCCATCTGTTCTCCATCGACCGTAGAATTTGCTACAAGGGATCTGAAGATGTTAATGCGTCCCCAAAAGACTTTTTGAGACGAACGGAGTAAGTCTAAGACCAGTGCATGCGTCAACTTCCCTCAGAGTGGAAGACAACTGATGTGCCACCGCCGGAAATGGGCGGACCGAGGGCAAAATAGCGTACATTTCGGGACTTCATGTCCTCAGTCGAGCACGAATTGCACGGCATACACTTACTTTGTCACAAAACTTTTGCATACAGTCGAAAGAAATAGTACATGCGGATGTTTGCTTGGAACAGATTTCAGAGATAATGCCCTCAAAATATTCTGTGGTTTTGTTCTGGCCGTTTTAGCCCTGTTTCGTGCCATTTTCCCCACAGGATATTCTTACGAAAGAATTAGAAAATTCCGTTCCAAGCCAACATGCGGATACATACCATCTATCATTCCTATGCAAAGGTTTTCCATAATTCACATTCTGCCTTGTGTAAACGTTGCCCGACTAGAGGGTGTATTCGAGACCACGCCACCCACTGGCCCGCGCGCGAACCAAACAGTGGCCAAACACCACGCCGCGCTTGCGGGAATTGCGCGTCACCAGGTCACTGACGTCGTTGCCCTAATCGTTGATATGGGCCACACGCCACGTCAACGCACTTGTTCATCTCTTGAAGTCTTCTCGCTGAAACTTTCTAGCCACCATCCTCATCAGGTTTGTCTATGATCGTGAGTCCCAAGTACTCTAGCTCTGCATAGACAAACCGGAATTGATTGTACTGTTATGAGTATCGATAGCCGATAGTTCTCTTTGGCCTACGGACGATCTTGCTTGCCAGATTCTCTTCGACTCAGTCTTGTTTGCACCAGTCCACGAAACTTTGACGCGAATCCTCTGTCTCCTAAGGCTCATCATGTATTCCCCATATATATCCTACCACTTAAGTCCTCTACCTCCTGCACGCGTACTATCCAGGCCACACATCTACCACAAGATTGCAGACACGATCGGGCATCCTCTCAACTTGAATCGTAGCTCCTCCTCAGCGACGTACTTGACGTCCTTTCGGGTGAGTCGCAGGTACTTTGGTGTCGTGTCTGTGGCCTTGTTCGGAGTACCGGTCTGTTGAGGCGACGTAGATGCACGAACGGTCGCCTTGAGAGGTCGTGGTTCGGGAACAACATCGCCTACGCAGGCACTGCAGCGACCACAATCCCGGTGAGTCCCCACGGCGTCAATACCATTGAATATGATGTTGGTCTGACGCTGAATGCATCTGTTGTTGTCCCAGGCCGCAATGATCAGCAGAAGTGCGTGACACTTCTTCTTCTTGCTATCATCTGAGGCCTTCTTCGGCTTGCGAGTTTTACGTCGGTTATTGGGTCGTGTTGCAGGCTTCGTCGTAGTGGATTCTTCATCAGGTGCGTCGTCGTCAATGTCTGTTTCTTCGTCATCCTCGTCCTCTTCTGCCTCACCTTCTCCATCATCTTCGTCCTCGTCTTCTTCCGCCACGCCATCTCCTTCATCCGCCCTATCGACCATCTCTGCCATCTCTCCTATGTCTTCGTCTCCATCTTCACCACCCAAGACAATCCTATCATCCATTTCTACATCGTCTTCCAGCCCTTTCTCACTGCCCTCCTGTACCAAGGTTTCGTCTCCCTGGCCTTCATCCATGTCGTAATCGATATCGCTATCCACCAGCACCTCATCCTTCGCTGTCAAGATACGCTCGTCCGTTGGATTCTCCTCGACGTACTCCCTGGCCTGTTCACGCTGATGATCGGTGATGTAGGTGAAGACGTCTCCGTTAGCGTCTTTGATTGCTCGTACAACACGACCGGCACGTTGAACGAGGGAAGAGGCGGTGCTGGGTCCGAGGAATATGATGACCTGTCGAACGTCCGGTGGGTCGATCCCGAGCTCCATGACTGAGGTCGCCACAAAGCCTGCGGTCTGACGAGTATCTTCCGTGTCGTAGAGGGCAGTTATACCCTCCTTTTTACAGTCCGGACACGTCATGGAGTGCATGTGGCGAATGAGGATGTTGTTATCGTTCTGGAGTTGTGGCGGCAGCAGTGAGCGAAGGTAGACGGCGATGCGATGTCCAGTCTCGATAGTGTCGGAGAAAAGAATGAATTTTGGTACGTCTGAAGCCTTTGTCATGTGTTCGGGAACCAACCAGTCAAGGTCGCGGAACTGATGTGTTGTATGCGCGTACCGGATCTCTCGGAAGATGTAGTTAACGTTGTGGCGCTCGCAGTCACGACGGTCAAGGTGATACTTTCCTTTAACAAAGCCGAGTTTATTGAAAACGCGGTCTGTTTGTCGTCCAGGCTGGAGTGTCGCCGAGAGAGCGACAAAAGTGAGGTGCTTCGGTCCTAGTGCACGAAGGGTCCAGATGTCTTCGTATGCGCTTTGAAAGTCGGGGCCCCAGTCGGATACAAGGTGAGCTTCATCGACATCGGCTACCTTCCACCTTTTTCGGAAGTTCTCGTCGTTCATCATGGCTATGAATTGCGGCTTTCGCAGTGACTCCGGCGCGAGTGCGATTACTTGAAACTTTCCTGCTTTCGCCTCTGCCCAGAGGTCACGACCGGCCTTCGCTTCACGAGCGAGATGTTCCGCGTTGATGACTACGGAGGTTATGCCTTTCGCTGCCATACCCTTGGACTACAGGAACTAGTGAGTACCTATGCATGACTTGTTACATTCCTGTGCTCTCAAAGCTTACCATATCGTCCTCGAGCAGATTAGTTGGCTCTACCACAACGCTAATCATTTCCTTGTCCACAAGTGCCGCGATATAGATGACCGCAGTCTTTCCGCTACCTGTTGCTGAAATGCATGCCACATCTCGGCCGTCGAGGACGCATGCCGAGTCGTAGAGCTGATCATCGTCTGCTGTGAAGGGAAGTATCGGCTCTACAATGTCTCTGATAATTGTGAGCCCTTCGGCGGATGTCCATTGGAAGTTGTCGGACATATAGGTACTAGAGCCTGAGTAGCCTCAGAATTCGGTTGAAATATATATATATGTCGATTATAAAGGTCCTTAGAGTACAGTTAAGTCCTAGTAGAAGTTACAAGAGCGGCGGGCAAGGGTATCGAGAGTGGCAACGTTCACGGCGAGTAGAGACGACGAACGAGACGGCGACTGTGGCCCCCAACCTTCATTTCCTAAAACGGCTGCCGACCGCCACGCCGCAGCGGCACCTCGGCAATCTGCTCTCGCGACATGCCTGTCCATATGTAAGACCCCCACTTTCACGGCGCCTGTGCCACCATTTCTCGCACGATGAATTTATTGCGGAATTTAAACCTATAATATAATATTCCGCAAAGGTATTCGCGCTCGCGAATGGCATTCATCCGCGCTCGCGGATTTCATGCCGGAAGATAACATTCGTCAATAGATTCAGGATTGAGTTTCTGCAGTCGCTAAATTTTGGAGATAACGCCCGAGAAAGGTAACATTTAGAACCATCGAAACGGGTTTCTGAAGGTTAACCTATACTTACTAAACTGCATTGCAATCCTCGGCCGAGGAAACAAAATAACCTCACATGCGAAATTCATTAATAAACTAAATGTTTCGGAATGTGTTTCGGGCGCCATTTCTCAGACGATGAATTTAATGTTCGACCAGCTCTGAATACAAAATTCTGCGCCCGAGGTCTTAAATGGATAACGCGTGAGAAACGAGGAGCGGAACTGGACCCAGAATTTAAAGTTCTCTAAAGGATTTCTCACGCGAGACTTTTCATTGTTCCCAAGTGAGAAATATAATAAACCTCGTCCGCGGTTTTTTAAAAATCTCGCGCGAGAAATTTTGCGCCCGCCGTCGCCCGCCGTCGCCCACCGACAGTGCGCGACCAGCGCCCACACGATGCCCGCTTGGTGCGCGACCAGCGCCCGCTCGGCGCCCGGCTGAGACACGACCTACCGACTGAGCGAGGCAACGACCCTGCGCTCATTCGCCCGACACTCTTCGCCCGGGGACATCGTCGTCGTTCAACGTTCAACCCGGGCACTCTCCACCCACATCCTCCACCTCATGCGGTCATCGCCCGATATTGTTATACAAAGGGAAGTACGCCAATTACGAGACAGAACGTGAAGGTACAGCATATCCAAGATGAGCAGGGAGGAGGGAAGTAAATAGGAGTGGAAAAACATACAAAA